TTTTTATTAATATTTGTTTCTTTTTCACATGTTTATTTATTATAAATCAGTTTGTTTAGTCGTGTAGTCATTCTTATTTTTGGTTTATTCTTATGAGTGATATCGCTGATTCTTATCTGAGCAGCATTAAATTTAATAATTTAGGAATCAACCATTGTAAACCCATATTCCTCAACCACTAATTTGAATATTGGGGGTGCCGTGTGCCCCTCAGTGTCTATAGCTGTTATGACGCTATCAGGCAGCGAGTTGACTGACATCCTGGTGCTTTGAATTGAGCTTATTCACTAAAACATTTCCTTTTTTTCCCCTCTGACAGACCAGCATAGGGTTTCATTTAAACATGTCTGAAATGACACTGCAGCGTTCATGACTGGGAGGAGAGAATACGGTTCCCACTTACCCATAAGTAAATTGACATGATCAGATTACGTGCTCCTGATCAGAGCCACATGCCGAGGTGCATTGATTGAGTCTGCGGATGCCTTCCTGTTCATCTTCTCATGCACCGTTTGCAAAGTCTGCTCGTCTGAGGTGAAACATCCTCTCACACACACATCGCCTTGCAAACAAACTCGCTCACATATGGTTTCAGTAAGGCTGTTATCTGAGCCACAGAAGAGTGTAGATTCCCACTATCACCAAGGTGCTCCTCTGATGAGCTGTAAATGCGGACATGTTGTAAACTATTGGATCTGATTTCAGACAGCCTCGTAGCAAGAAGTTTGGATGTAGTTTGGTTAATAAATTACATGCTTGAATGCTTTCGTGTTTTTTTTTGGAGAAATACGTATATTGCTATTATACAGCAGTGAATAATTTCGGTTATGATGTAATGGCTTGTAATCATACGGCGACTTCTGAAGTGAAATCAGCACACGAGGGGAAACAGAAAACATACCAATTTATAATGCAGTTTGAAGTCTTATGGTGAAAATACTCGTACAGCACGACTTCTGGTAATAGCAGGAAGTTTCATATAATGTTTCTGCTCATTAAAGCGGATGCCACACAACCCAAAAACTTTACAAGAAAAAAAAAGCTCTGCTGTCACTTTAAAAGCACTCTCATTCACATGCGGTTGGGGAAAATTCTGGCAGTTGGCCATTTTCACATAGGCTGGTTTGACCCCACTGCAAGCCTGAAAATAGCAGCGAGCAGATACTGTAAAAGCAGAGGCAACCAGAAATGACTTTTCCACCAATGTCTGATTTCTTTTGAAAACAGTAAATCTTGTGAAGTTTATTTTCTTTGCAGCATCTGTGTTTTATAATGGTTCTTTTAATTTGTTTTCACGTTGTCCACCGGGATTGCTTTTATCCGGCGCTTTCTGGCCTCTCCTTTTACTTACTCCGCCCCCCTTTCCACTTATAGTACTCCTCCTTTGAAAGTGTGTATTTTAATAATGATAGCTCTGGGAATTGGCACAGGCAGACTTGACATGACAGCACCTTCCCCCTGAGTGCGGCGGTACCGCCATTGTTCCTTTTCCTCTCCACTCATCCCTCTTTTTTTCCCCTCCTCCCCTCCTGTCCTAATCCCTACCTCCTGTGAACTACGCTCTTACAGGAGCATGTCTGGGAAACCTGGACGAGCGCGAAAGACATGAATGGGTGAAACAGAATATATCAAAGTATTCCCAAACCGGGAGAGCGCAACTTTTTTCTAGGAATTCAGTCTTCCGCAGATGCTCCTAAAGCCAGGCGATTTCTCAGCGGTTGACACTTTGGAACGTCCTGCGATATTCTGTCCCCGGGAACGTTATTCGCATTGGCGGCCGTCGAGGTTGCATTTTTTTTAATTCACTTCGGTGGCGATGCGATTAAAATGGGATGATGTTTGTGTATGAATGTTGTTTTTTTAGGTTTATGTGTGCAAATGAAGCAAATAACGAATGGAAAGCGTCAGCTTAGATGGATCGCTTGTGTTCATTGCTTTATCAGATGCAAATAGAACAGCTTGGGGGAGAAAAACAAGATATCAGTGACAGGGCGACCAGGTCTGTGCCATTAGAAGAAAATGCAAATGGAGCGGAGTGAGCTCGAACAGAAGGGTCAGGTGACAGAGGGTGACCCGGCTGGCCTCTTGGAGTTAGGCCTGCGACGGCTGTGGATTTGCATTGATGGATCTTCTTTCCATTGGCTTGTCATGTATCACTGCGCAGGCCATCACACATGAGTCATTAATCAAATGACGGCTCCATAAGCAGTATCGTTTTGACTGGCCAGGCGCCTTGCCGCTCTCGGACGTGCCATTCTTGAGGGTTTCGGCCAAGCCTGCCACACTCGGGTTGACGTCATGTGGCGGCTGAGTTTCACATCATCCCGTGCGAGGCGTCTGCTTTTGGAGGGCTTAAGCTTTGCCGCCGTGACGCCGGCTGTTTGCGTGTGTGTCCGCAGGTGAGTCGGGGTTTGATTTAGTGGGGGTTAAAAAGTGCGCCAAGACTGAGTGTGTCCTTCTTGGAAAGATGCTAAATTCATTAAGATTTTTCTTCCTCTGCTCCTCGCCTTTGTCCATCAGAAGCACCATTATGGGTTTTCAGGCTGCTTCCTGTTCAAATTCCTTTTCTTTTCTGCTGCTCTTGCACACAAAAGGTGGCTGCGCTTGGGGTGTAGTGGTTTTGAAATGTGAAGGGCCCTTGAGAGTCGGGCCCTGTGTGGAATGGCGCAGGGGTTTGTGTAATGTCTCCAGCCAAAGCAGGCCTTTATGGAGGGCCATGAGGCCTAAATGGCCTCTCTTTGGTTAAGCACAAAGACAGCGTTTCTGGGTATTAGAGAGACACAGAGAGGCTGGCTAATGATCTAAAACCCCTCCAACACTGTGGCACGGCCGCTCTCAGTGCTTTTGCCCTCAGATAATCATTGTTTTGTGTCTCTGGGATTTCTCCGACCCCCTGAATACCCTCTTCATGGCGATATTACAATGGAAGCAAGGAAAATGTTCGCTGAGATTATTGGGCTGGTCTGAAATATTGTATGTTGAAAGGGAAAAAAATAATGGAGTTAAAAACACAAAAAGCAGCACTTCAACTTTGTGTGGAATATTTGTGTAGCATACATCTGCACTATATTGTTTTTGCTTTTTTAAGAAGTGCATGGAAGTGTATATCAAATTGATTCCTGTATTAGTTGAAATGAAAGGCAACACATAATAACAAATGAAAACTGATTAAAAGTGGACAATTAAGGGGAGAGCAGTCGAAACATTGTATCTGTTGTGTTTGTTTCTTTAAGAGGATATGCTATGTTAATGAATTAAGTATGTGTGTTTTAGCATGACTGGAAGGCTGACCGTCCAGTATTATTTTTATAAACTCTTTTTATACCACATATCAGTAAAGACTTAACAGGCTATTGATTTCATAAATATGTATAGATCCTGTTCGACCGCTCCAGATACGTTGACGTGTCCGCCATTTTGGAACGGTCAACTTGACATCATTGACCATAATTATCAGTGCGTATTCAAAGATATACACGCGTATAACTTGCTGTTGTAGACGCACACAGTCAACGTGCTCAAAGGTTCGCAGACTGTTCCAAAAATGGTGGATGGTTTACATATTGTGGCCCAGAAACAGTTGCTAATGAGGCATCTACATATACATATCTATGATTGATTTAATGTTTTTGAAAGATGTCACTTATGCTCACCAAAGCCGCATTTATTTGATCAAAAATACAGGAAAAACAGGAACATTGTGAAATATTATTGTAGTTTAAAATAACCGTTTTAACAAATTTTAAAATGTCATTTATTCTTGTGATGGAAAAGCCGAATTTTCAGCAGCCATTACTTCAGTCATCAGTGTCACATGATCCTTCAGAAATCATTCTAATATGTGATTTGGTGACTTAAGACTTAAGGAATCTTTGATGAATCGAAAGTTTAAAACAAATTTAAATCTCACGTAAAATGTATAAATGTGACCCTGGACCAAAAAAAAAATGTCATAAGGGTCAATTTTTTGAAATTGAGATTTATACATCATCTGAAAGCTGAATAAATAAGCTTTCCATTGATGTATGGTTTGTTAGGATAGGACAATATTTGGCCGAGATACAACTATTTGAAAATCTGGAATCTGAGGGTGCAAAAAAATCAAAATACTGAGAAAATCGCCTTTAAAGTTGTCCAAATTAAGTCCTTAGCAATGCATATTACTAATCAAAAATTAAGTTGTATTTACAGTAAATAAGTTTAATCTTTATTTATGAGTTTTAGGACAATAATACAAAGAAGAAAACAAAAAGCAAAAGACAAAATCAACTTAATACAATAAAATTAATTATAACTACATAAACAAGTAATCAAAAGTGTGGCTTAGCAAAACAACTAAAGTGCACAATCTGTATAATACAATAAAATGTAATTGAAGGGAAAAAAAAAAAAAATGCAGGAACAAAGACTCAGTCTACGGCCGACAATAAAACATGATCCATGACATATTGCTTAAAAGGGTCCCAAGCTTTATTAAACTGGTAAGATGAACCTCTTATAGAATGTTTGATTTTTTGCAACTTTAGGAAAAAGAGGACATCACGAATCCATTGTGTTGGGGTTGGAGGCCTCTGATCCTTCCACTTCAGCAATATTAATCGTTTGGCTAAGAGCATGATAAAAGCTATACAATCAGATTGTATCTTTGTAAGATTATATGATACAGGAGTAATTCCAAAAATGGCTATCAGCGGGCAAGGTGAAATCGGTCTACCCAAGAAACCAGAGACAGTCTCAAAAACAGTGACCCAGAAGCCCCTAAGCTTTATACAGGACCAAAACATATGTGCATGAGATGCTAGGCCATGCAATTTATTTTTGGCTATTGCTACAAATATACCCCAGCGACTCAAGACTGGTTTTGTTTACTCTTATTTGATCATTCTTAATACATCCTTGCTAAAAAAAAGTATTCGCTTAAAAAATATGTGACCTATCGAATTTTTAATGTTAATACAAACTCACATTCTTAATTTTTCTTTCTCCCTTTTCTTTCATAGCCAAACTCACCAGTCAAGAATCCTTTAACAACTTCACCAACAACAACATGGGTAACCCACGGCTGTCTCCATTACCCAGTTTGACGGTCGTGCTTCCACTGGCTCAGATCAAGCAGCCGATGACCTTGGGCACCATCACCAAGCGCACTGGGTGGGTTTCTACACACTATTAAAACACTTAAAGGCATTGGTATGAGCCTTTTAATGTTATATCACAATACAAATCATGATTTATTGATAATTTTAGATGAACAATTGAATTCGAACTGAAGTGCAAGACAAATGGTCAACTCTTTAAAAATCATAACTGTGAAACTGAAACGTTTCTATTTAACTATGAAAATGAAATACTTGAGGCTATATTCCGACTGGATAAGTAGTCTGCTACTTATTTGACCTACTGGCAGTTTTCTGGTCATAATCAACTTTTTTTAAATTTGACATTTGGTGTGTTGTCACTTCAAGCCAAGAAGAGGTCTCAATGGAAATTACATTGTCATTTTAAGGCACAAGGTACTTAATATAGGTAATATCTTAAAACATATTGGTTTATGCCATCTGATAGACAGGTTATAAATGACAATTTAGATAGTTATATTTTGCTGCAGACCAGGCTATATTGTCAATTGTTAAGCAGTTTAGCGAAATGTTATTGTTATGAGTCTCTGGGCATGTCAAGACCATGAATGCTCCAGCCACCACTGGCGATAGCATTTCTCATTTGCGAGAACTGTGTCTTGGATTTGAAACGACATGAGTTTGCATGAACTCTTGACTCGTGCTGAAGCACTTAAGTGTCATCAAACCGTCATTTGCCAGATGATTGCCTGAATTTACACAAACATGCAAACCTGCTTTCTTCCGCATATGGATCTTTGCTGTACTCGGTTGTTAGTTCCCAAGCCAGATGTATTACAATCACTGGACACAGCATGCGGTCGCCCTCCATGTAACATGAATACGCCGGTAAAGACTGGTTGCCATATCAATGACTGCAGTTCGCATTTACATACTGACTAAACATAATTATGACTTATTGCAATTGTTTATTTTTATTTAAATGCAAAGTTTGAATGGGAAATTCGCTAACGAAACAGTGGCACGTCGGGTAAACTTTAAATAGGGAGATTTATACAAGGCCCTGCAGCTCATTGTCATGCAGAACACTTTGCGCTGTGGTTGTTTTAAGGGCTCTCGCTCATCTAGTTTTGATTTGAAGAGTCGTCAAGGGTGCATCAGTTTGAAGTTTGAGTAATTCAGCTTTGCGTTTGGTTTAGTTTCTAGCTTTGGAGACCTCATATGCTCCCAGTGCCTATTAAAACTGCCTTTTTCAAAGACATGCTGAGTCCAAGGCTGTACGTTGTGACAGAGTAGACGTCACTGTCCTCGAGTCTAGTCCCATTTCATCCATTATCTTTCTCTCCTTAGCTGAGGCTAGCATATGTGGCGGCAGACAAGAGACGTCCTATGTTGTGCTGAACCGTGTTGTGTGTCTGTATGTCAGTCAGTCAGCTGTTTCCCTGCACCCACCTGTCTCTGCTCATATGTTCTTTGCCCATCAACATGCCCAAAAAACTCTACCCTCAGATGTTCAGCACTCAGAGCTGTGGCTGGGGAATGGCAGAGGACCTGGCCACCACATGGGAGATCGTCCTCTTTGCAGACAGAGTCTCTGTAATAATGCAACTGGACGTTTGGCGTCGTGGCTGTATCAAACGAGCTGGTGCGGGTGGAAAGCAGGTTGAAACTCTTTTTGCCCATACTGTCTACCTCCAAGTGAGTCATATTGGGCATTAACACAGCGTTGATTTGAGTGCCTTTTAGTGGAAGTGGTGTTAAAGGGTTAATTCACCCAAAAATGAAAATTAGCCCATGTTTTACTCACCCTCAAGGCATCTGTGTATGACTTTCTTCTTTCATATGAATCCAATCGGAGTTATATTAAAAATAGTCCTTGCTCTTCCAATCTGTAGGTGGGTGTTTTTGTTCAACAGTCCAAAAGTAATCAAATAAAACACGCGCATCCATAATAAAACGTGCCTCACACGGCTCCTGTAGCGAATCGATGCGTTTTTGTACGAAAAATATCCATATTTAAAATATTATGATATTTCTCACTTCTGCTTACTGTCATACGTGCAAGCCGTTCCGGGCGGATGACGTAGGACGTACGCGTCGCACACACGCCGGTGAGAAGTGACGAACGCGGAAGCGTGACGGAGAGACAGCAAAACAAAAAGCCGGTCACGAATTAGAAGATTTTATTTTCTCACTTTGATTCCTATTTTTTCATTATGATTCATTTTGGTATATTTCAGTTATAATGTTCATTTTGCTCACATATGTAAAAAATAAATAAATAAATAAAATTCAGTCTTTGTTAATGCTTTATACAGGGTTTTAGACTGATTCTAACTGATAACTTGTCTTTTTGAACTATTAAAAATAATTGACTGATATTCAGGAATCAGGCTACACTGTTTTCAAATATTTAGTATTAAATGTATACTGGTATACTATTTTTTATACTTTTTTTTTTAAATTAACTTTTATTGATACATTCTCCGTTTTAGTAATTTTATGCACTTTTTTTAAAAAAATTTTTATTTAAACGTATTACATTTTAAAAAATAGATTTAATTTGTCGGCGCCCATAGCATTGTGGTTAGTGCGTCGGCAGCCCGAGTTCGAATCCTGCCTTGAAGTCCTTTGCCGATCCTGCTTCCCTCTCTCCTCCCAGTGCTTTTCTGTCAGCTTTCCACTGTCCTCTCACAATAAAGGCGTAAAAAGCCCATAAATATAACTTAAAAAAAATAGATTGAATTTAATTCAATTTTGTTTTTAGTAATTTTAGTACTTCAACTTATTTTATTTCAATTAGTTGGCAAGGCAACAGTTCCAATTGTATTTTTTCATCTAATATGTTTATTTATGCATCTTGTATTTCAGCTTTATTTCAGTTCACAGAAATTATTTGTTTATTTATTTAATGTTATTATTTTATTTAGTTTTCTTATACAGCATAAACTTGATCAGCAAACATGGTCCAAAAAGAACATAAACAGTACGGTACAGACAAATATACAAAAATAAAAGGAAACGGAAAAGTATTAATTGTCAGCGAGATAAATATCTTTGATACAAGCGATATTAAAAGGTCAGTAAAATAATCTATTTTAATAGTTTTTTTTTAAATAATAACAATGCTGTTTTTGATTTGCTTAAAAGAACTGAGTGCTTTGTTCAGAATGCAAAAATATCATTATGTACTTCTGCGTTCTACTAGGTACTTGAGTAGAGCATTTCGTGTTTACCTTGATGATTTTTTTAATGCCTGCATTGCTAATCAAGTTTGATTTTTTTTTTTTCCTCCTCTCCAGTCTGTAAACAAGTGGAATGGGGCTAGATACAAATGCTCCAACCATTATTACCCAGTTTCAGATTTTTAGATCTTTTATTCCAGCGTAGTTCAGTATTAATGCTCATCTAATATTTTACTCTTTGAAAACTCTTGTCTTGAGAAGCGTCTGGTCCTCTCGGGTGAGACAGCAGTGTGAGTCTTGCACTGTCTTAATGTACTGTGCCGTTCCAGGAGCTGTGTCACAGTGTGACTTTCTTTTTCTGTGAACCACTTCAGCTGTTCTCCTGATTCCAGCTGTCAAATCAGCCAGAGCAATGAGTTCTGATATCAGCCCTGATGACTTCATCTCCCCTTTTCCGTGTGTCTGCTAAGTGATGAGTAACCTTTCTACTGAGTAACCTCCTTTTGTTCTTTAATTTCTCCTCCAGAGTCACTTAATCAGCCAGCTTAGTGCCATTTTTAGACTATGTTTACTTGAATATTGATATAGTTAGACTGTGTGGTGGACTTCAACAATGAGGTGCCAGAGCCCCTTGAGGTTTTTTTTAGTCCCATGCAAATTCCTGTTTCAGTTCCATTTGATGTTTACACAGTTTTACCATTTATCTAATGCTCAACAAGCACCAATATTACAGGTTTATATTAACGTAGTATTTATTAAAATCGAATCTCATAAAAGTCTTATTGACTTTTGCCTTTTTAAATATCTTTTACATGTTTATTTTGAGGCTTAAGGAGGCAAAAGAGGTGCTGGTGTCACTTTTCGTTGGAAAGTGTCGGAGTGCACAGACTACACACGCAATAACAAACACTGTCATATTATCTTACGTTCGGATACCTGTTGTTCAGGAATTCAGTTGTGGGTGATTATACCAAATCATTTTGATGACAGGTATTTTAGAATTAATAAAATAACATTTGAGAGAGTGTGCGATGAGATTGGTGTGCTGAAAAAGTCACATTTTTTGAGGTGCGTTTTTAATGTGAATTTATTCTGTAAATGTTTCCATCATAATTTAATGTTTGTGTCTTCTTATATACTCAATTGAGCACATCAAGGTGGACGGAATAATAGCCGTATCCTCATTTGTCGCCGCTTCCTCAAAATGCCTCTGCTTTCTTGCCTTTTGTGGCCAAAAAGCTGTTAAATCATATACTATAAAAAAAAAAAAGTTCTGTAGTTTTTACATAATCATTTTGGCAGCTTTGGTTGCCAGAATATTTTTGTAAAAAATACAGAAAAACTGTAAACACATTTACAAAACAAACTGTGAAGTTTACAGTATAAAACTGTAATTTATAAATAAGAAAATTTGAATGTAAACCAGTAAATTCAAGAAGGCACACTGCTACTAAAATCTGTTTTAACAGTTTTTTTTTTTCAATATTTTACAGTTAAAATTACACTCATTTTTACAGTGTACTTAAAAATGTTTTCTCACGCCTCTTTGTAGAACTGTAGATATAAACATTTTATAAAAAAAAAAAAAAAACGAAACTCTTTTTGCTGAACAGATTTAAAGTATTTGAATCACTGGGTTCAGTCACACACCCCACCACTGATGCTGCTCTTTTCTTATTCAACAGAGTGTGAATGTGTGTGTTGCTGGATGGCTGGGTCTGACCTCACAGATGTGGTAGGCTTAGTGTAATACGTGAATTGAGCTGCTTTTGGGCCATTGTCTCATAGTGCCGTAATGACCGTACTAAGAGCTTAAAGAGCTACGGTGCTACCCAGTCATGTGACATGTCACAGTGTAAGCATTTGCTGAAATCACCTCATTTTAATG